TGACTTGCTGATCCAAGATTCGAAGGGGTTTCTCCTCATAAATCATATCGTCATCTAGCACAATTTGATGATGGTCAATAACATAAGAAGGGTGCTGAAGGTAACCTCACAACATTGATACGTGAAACACATTGTGCACTTGCTCCATGCCCGATGGTAAAGCAATCTGATAAGCAACCAGACCCAATCTTTTCAAAATTTGAAATGGCCCTATGTATCGAGATGATAATTTCCTTTTCTTCCCAAACCTCATGTGCCCTTTCATTGAAGTGACTTTGAGAAAAACATGCTCCCCAACTTCAAATTCTAAGTCCCTCATTCTTTGATCCATATAGCTCTGTTGTCGACTTTGAGTAGTTTTCAATCTTTGTCGGATGATTTGAATATTTTCCGTAGTAATTTACACAATTTCAGGCCCAATCAACGACCTATCTCCAATCTCGGTCCAACAAATTGGAGTTCAACATTTTCTCCCATACAAAGCTTCATATGGTGCCATTCCAATACTGGAGTGGAAACTATTGTTATAAGCAAATTCTGCCAAAGGTAAATGAGGTTCCCAACCTTCACAGAAATCCAAAACACACATCCGGAGCATGTCTTCCAACGTCTGTATAGTTCTTTCATGTTACCCATCGGTTTGTGGATGAAATGCTGTACTAAACCTCAACTTCGTCTCCAGTGCTTTTTGTAAGCTTTGCCAAAACCTTGACACAAACTTAGAATCTCTATCCGACATAATGGAAATCAGAACACCGTGCAATCGAATAATCTCAACATTGTACACAGTAGCAAGTCGATCAGCATTATAAACAGTCTTCACAGGCAAAAAGTGAGCAGACTTAGTCAATCTATCAACAACAACCCATATAGAATCCATACCTCGGAGTGTTCAGGGTAAGCGCACAATAAAATCCATAGTTATACACTCCTATTTCCATTCCAGAATAAGGAGAGGTTGAAGTAACCCCACTTGTCTTTGGTGTTTCACTTTCACTTGTTGACATCAATGGCACCTTGAAATGAATTCCACAATTTCTTTTTTCATATTGGGCCACCAAAAGGCTTGTTTGAGATCTTGGTACATTTTGGTATTCCCAGGATATATAGCAAACCTGGACTTGTGTACTTCTTCCAAGACTCTTCCTTTAATTTCGAGGACATTAAGAACACACAATCTTCCCTTGAGCTTCCAAAGAAAATCCCGATCTTGGTTTTGCTTCCATCTCATCATGTACTTTCTTAAGGAATTCATCCTACAATTGCCTTTGTTTAATTTCCTCAATAATAGCCAGTAGTGCAATCATTGAAGCCAACATTGCATCCCCATTCATGTAGCACAATTTCCATCTCCATTCTTTCCAAGTCAAGTAATAATTAATTCCGCTCCATAAGCAAACATGCTAAGTTTCCCGTTAACTTTCTACTAAGAGCATCCACTACCGTGTTGGCTTTGCTGGGATGATAATGAATCTACAAGCCATAATCCTTGATAAGTTCTAACCGCTGTCTTTGTCTCATATTAAGCTTCTTTTGAGTAAAGAAATACTTGAGGCTCTTTTGGTCGATGTAGACTTCCCATGTTGCTCTATAAAGATAATGCCGCCATATCTTCAATGGAAATACCACAGTAGCTAATTCCAAATCATGCGTGAGGTAATTCTTTTTATGTGGCTTCAATGGTCGAGATGCATACGCAATCACTCCCCTATTTTGCACAAGTACACGTCCCAATCCCTTATGAGAAGCATCACTGTAAATAACAAACCCTTCTATACCTGACGGTAAGGCAAGGACCGGTGCTATTATGAGTCTTGTCTTTAATTCTTAAAAGGCAGACTCCCTCTGTTTTGTCCACTCGAGTGGAACACCTTTTTGGCTTAACCGGGTAAGCGACACTGTAATCTTGGAGAAATCTTTAACAAATCTTCGATAGTAACCCACTAAACCCATAAAACTGCGTACTTCTGTAACATTGTTAGGAGCAGGCCAATTCACAATAGCTTCTATCCTTTGCAGATTGACAGACACACCATCCTTGTTAATTACATGCCCCAAAGACACAACTTCACTCAACCAAAATTCACACTTCTTCCATTTAGCATATAATTTCTTGTCCCTAAGTGTTTGAAGAATCAATCTCAAGTGTTTTTCATGTTCCTCCCTACTATTCGAATAAATAAGAATGTCATCAATGAATACCACCACAAACTCATCCAAGTCCGGTTTGAAAACCCGATTCATTAAATCCATAAAAGCTGTTGGTGCATTCGTAACCCCAAATGGCATGACTAAAAATTCATAATGGTCGTACCTAGTTCGAAAGGTAGTCTTCTCAACATCCTCTGCTTTGACTTTTAACTAATGATACCCGGATCTCAAGTCAATTTTTGAAAACACTTGTGCCCTCTGTAGTTGGTCAAACAAATCATTAATCCATGGTAAAGGATATTTATTCTTCACCGTTACCTTATTAAGTTCTCGGTAATCGATATACAATCGAAGGGTCCCATCCTTCTTATTCACAAACAAAACAAGTGCACCCCATGGCGATGTACTCGGTCGGATGAACCTTTTGTCAAGCAATTCTTGCAACTGTATTTTTAATTCTTTTATTTCTGCCGAAGACAATCTGTACAGAGCCTTGGAAATCGGTTGAGTACCCGATACAATATCAATAACAAACTCAATCTTATGATCTATCAAGTCCCCTAACAATTCTTCAGGAAACACGTCTGAAAACTCATTAACAATCTGAATATTTTCAACACCCACCTTGGTTGTCTCTGCATGCAAAATGCTACACAAATAACCCTACAACCTTTCTGAAGCAGTTTGCAAGCTTTCATAGCCGATATCAAATAGGGTGAAGGGACTACCCCATATCCCATAAAAGTAAACTCTTCTTGACACTGTGGGCGGATCACAACTTGTTTAGACACACAATTGATGGTTGCATGATACTTAGCTAACTAATTCATTCCCAAAATTATATCAAAGTGTACCAAGAGGCATCAAATTAGCACATAATGGAATATCTCCAAATAAAAGCTCATATGCAGGATACATAGAAGTACATAACATAGTCCCCAGATAGGAGTGCACAACACATAATTCAAGGGTTCCATAGATCTATTCAAATTAGGATCAAATGTTTTCGACACAAAAGAATGAGTGGAACCTGAATCAAGTAGCACATGAGCAAGTTGGCCATGGATAGAAATCGTACCTGAAACCACTACCTTTGAATTCTGGACATCACCTAGAACAAGAGTAGAGACTCTCTCTTACCCAACATTGTCTCTGGAAGTAGTAGGCCTTGCTGGGATCTTTGTTGAAGGAGTGGAACTAGCTGAGCTAGCAGTTGGCCTATTCCTTTTTTGTTGGCCAAATATAGAACAATCTCTCACCATATGTCCCGTCTTCCCATAATTAAAGCAAGCTCCTGTTGCTCGATAGTAAACCCTCCAGTGTTTCTTTCCATGCTTTGGGCAAGTTGGTGCCGAATCACGGGTAGAACCCGAAGTGTTGGAAGTTCCTAAATTCTACTTCTTATTTTGTGAGGATGCCAACCCTTTGTGTATATTCGAACCCTGCCTTTTGCCCTTCTAATCCAAGTATCGGTTGCGGTTGGCCTGGTTACTTTCTGCTATGATGGCCCTATCCAATACATCCACATATTTATCTACTTTCAATACATTAATCTTCTCAAGAATGGAGTCTCGGAGACCTCCCTCAAATTTCCTTGCCTTTTTGTAGTCCGTATCGACCATATGCGGTGCAAAATGGGCTAACTCGATAAACTGCGCTTCATACTCCGCTACAATTTTGTTCCCTTGCTTCAAGTTCTCAAACTCCAACACCTTCCTATCCTGGATACTCTATGGGAAATAATTCTCATAGAAGACGTCCAAAAATTGAGCCCAATTCATTCCTTGGTGTTCTCTTTGGATAAGCATCCACCAACAGCGCGTCTCATCCTCTAGTGTAAAAGCAACAAGCAAGACTTTCTGTGCTTCTGTGCATGGAAAGACTTCAAATAATTTCTCGATACCAAGCACCTATGTCTCTACCTTTAGTGGATCAATTTGTCTCTTGAACGATGGCGGTTTCATCTTTTTAAATTCCTTAGTAAGAGTAATAGTTCGGTCGTCTACTTGGTGGTCTTGCCCTATAGGTAGTGGCACAGGCATTGGTGGCGGTAGAGGTTGTTGTTGCTATTGTTGTTGTTGTTGTTGTCTAAAGGCCTCTACCATGTCCATGATCATTGCATCAATTCTATCAAGTCATGCGGAGGTTGAACCCACCCCATCTTCTACCCTTGTTCTTACCATGATTTAAAGGAACATATATTATAACTTTCACATATATTATACACACAGGTCACATTTACAAATGCACATTTTCATGTCATACCTAATTATGAATGCAATGTGGATATAACTTAAACCCTTTCTAGACTTCTTATTACTCACATGGACTTGTGTATGAGATATTAACTTGTCCTCGGTTATGACCTAAACTTTTAGAGACTGGTTCAGGCTGTGACAATCACGCTCCGTTTGTTTAGACATAAAATATTTTTAGTATTTTCTGGTATTTAGTACAATGGAAAATAAAGTCAATGAAAAACAAACCCATTTATACATAAAATGTTTTCCACTTTTAAAAGGGTGAAAGGTTCACAGATTAAAATTTTACCAATGTTATTACTCTACTACTACTACTCTCACCTCTACCACCACATCACCATCACTACAGCTATCGTTACCATCATCTTCACAATCACCATTGTTGTCACCCCACCACCCTGCTGCTACTTTCATCTCTACCTTCATTTCATCACCACTAAACATAGAAAAATATTTTTCAAAAAAAAAATTCTATTAGAAAATATTTTTCGTCCAAATAAACGGAGCCTCAATAATTAGTACAACATTATGGGCTCTTTAGTAAATACGATGATTTTGGGTACCCAACGACATTGAAACAGGTCCCTGTTATATTTGGTGCCAAATTAGCCTGTGAGAGGCGCATAACATAGCAAAGAGAGCTGCGTTTGGTTTCTGTAAATTCTTCTTCCTTTCTCATGGATCTGAACCCGGTAACTTCAATCACCTCCACTACTCTCTCTCTCTCTCTCTCTATCTCTCTCTCTCTCTCTGTGTACACTATCGTGTTATTTATATCAATGCACGAATTCGCGTGAATTCATTTTCTGCAAATTCATTGGATATGTATCGATCGGTGATAATTGATGGCAAATCTGGTTATGTATGCCATTTCTTATGTATTTCGATCTCCGTTTGTGATGAATTCAACGTTGTATATTACAGATCTGAATTGCATTATCATTGTCCTGTAAGACATGTCTTTAATGGGAATGCAGTCTTGAAATGTTTGTGATTCAGAAAGGATTGGGATAGTAATTGATTTTTAGTTTTTTTTTTTAACTGTGTGCAATGTCGAAAATTTGGGATTACAATTATGTTATATTCCATGAGAAATTTGAGATCGCAATGTTAAAAAACAGAAATAGCAGTGGATATGAATTTTAGGAAGTACCTAGCTTTTTCAACCTCCGCGATGGCACTTTTCTAAGTTGTTGTGAAAAAAAGAAAACAAATGGTGCTGGTTTTCCACTATGAATAGCTCCACTAGATTTGATTTGTGAACTTGTAAGTTGTATCATTATCGGCGAGTGTTTCTTTATGTTCTTTATTCAAATTCTTGTTATACTTGTAGACCGTGACTTTAGGTGGTAGTCTATCGGCATTTTCTGCAACATTCTTTTATAGGAGAGTGGAGGGTGAAAAGTTCATCAATCAGTTTCTAGATATAATCCATTGCAATTAATAATAACAACTGAGTGGTCAGCGTGTTGTGTGGTCAGGAGGGTGGGATATGTACTGGAACCTCATATTGCGGGTAATCTAATGGCAAAGTGAGAGATGGTCATGCAATTTGTTTTGATAACATTCTTGGGCAAATTAATGATGTTTGGCTTTTGGAGAGTTTTATTTCTACATCACTTCTTTATATTATCATTTTATAGGTTTGATTCTGGCCTTTTTCATATAAAAGTGTGCTTCTTTTCTAATGTGGATTACACTGTTTAGATGGTGGCTTGATTTAGATGTTTGGCTACTGAAAGTACCATGTGGGCTGAGTGAGTTGTGGATAAATGTCTAGATGATTTGGATGATTTTGAAATGTTTTATTTGTTAGTGTAATTAAGAATTGGTGGAACTTGACCAAACTTTTTTTTTTTTGAGCAAAATTTTTTTTATTAAGAACTTGTGGATCATCTCTTGCTTTATTGCAGTTCAACCAAGGATATTTAGATTTACTTTTCCATTTGCATGGGCTATCAGCTTGTCATGCCAATAAATTAGGTTTTGGATTTGCATGGTGGTGTAGGAGATGGAAACAGGGAAATGTTTTTTTTTTGGGGGGGGGACAAGTTAAAGGAAAATGGTGCTTTTTTTGTTTACTCGTATTGAGAAAATAATTACACTGTCCAAAGGACTGGATTTTTCATTACATTAAAGTGGGTTGTTTTGATGGACTATAACAACTATCTATTGTGAATGGATTTTCTTATTTTATAATTTAAGTGGGGAGATGGTTACTTTCTTATTACCTCTCCTAGACCCTTCTGTTAGTGCGAGCTTTGTGCAATGGGTTTGAACTTTATGATATTTTTTTAATTGCTTATTTTTGCCTTACTTCTGTGCTCAGCATGCAGGGGAAAACTATGCCAACCCGCAAATATGTTTCTTTCATGTGCTCTTCAAGGTATGGGTTATTTAATTATGTCTTTTACTACTGTACATTGTAATTCCATTTTCCTTTGTAATATCACAATTAGTTGATTTGGCAGGCAGCAGCTTTGGCATTTTACATACTTTCAGCTCTCTTTGTTGATAGCTTTGTCATCATTTTTGTGGTCACTGTTCTTCTTGCTGCTCTTGATTTCTGGGTAGTCAAGAATGTGAGCGGGCGTATCTTGGTTGGTTTGAGGTGGTGGAATGAAATAACGGACGAGGGTGAGAGTGTGTGGAAATTTGAATGCCTTGACCAAGAGGTTGGTGATTGTGTTTAATTTATTCTTAGTATTAAATTATCCTTCTTCTTTATAATACCATTACCTCATCTCTGATAAATTTCTTTTGTAGATATCTTGAGCCTTAACTCTTGCATTGATCATTAACTGTGTTTTGACATATGTTTATCATTGTTTCTACTAGTCATTGGCTCGGATGAACAAGAAGGATTCATGGTTATTCTGGTGGACCCTTTACCTTACAGTAAGTAAATATTGTTAAATTGTATCATAACCCAGTTGTGACCCTGTTTGTAATTATAATTTAGGGAAAAATCCATTTAATTCACATATGGTATGGCCCGGTAACACTTTACCTCCTGGTTTTCTTAAAAATAGTGGCATACCCTCCATATGGCTTTAGACTAAAGTGCTAATGTAATGCACGTCTGCAAGTTTTGTGGATTATGTAATGCATGGCATTAATGAGGCTTCCATTGCCACAAGTCTTGGGACTATTGGACCTTGAGGGTTTCCATAAACGTAAGTGATCAATTGGAATGTCAGCCATATGTATATATTGTATTTAAATATTTTTCATATATGTATAATGTATAATTAAATATGTAAATAAATTAGAAATTGTGTTAAAAACTTATAAACTATATTATAAAATTAAAGGTATTTAGATGAATATGTAATTTTGTTGGTTAATATGAGATTGACTTAAAAAATAATGTGTAAACAGAAAAGAGAGAAACAGAAGATAGTTGAGGGGTATTAAGGTCATTTTCAACTACTGTTAATGAAGTTAATATTGTATTTTAGTTAGGGGTACAACTTGGGCGTGCTTGGTCGGGTTGGGAGGTTATCCAAGCCTAATCCAAGTTGTACTGAGACCTGTTTAGGCCCGCCTAAGTCCAAATTGTAACCCGAGATTACCTACCCAAACCCAACCCGAGTTGAACCCGAATTGTCCGAGTTGCCCGAATTGCGCGAATTGTAAATGAATTTCAATTTTTTTTTTTTCCAGTTACATTATTAAATTATTAAAATTTGACTTTATTTATATTTTTTTTTACATAGAAAATCATTAATATCACCAAAACAAATAATTTATATAATGTAAGAGAGATGCCGCTATAGTAGTCCTTACAATTTATAAGTAAAAATAAATAAATAAAAAGATTTTATTTTATTCGTATATATAATCATATATATTCAATATGATTTAATAATTTAAATTATTTTAATATCATGTAATGGCTAATAATTTATATGTATATTTAATATTTTTATATATCTATATATGTATAATTCGGGTTTCGGGTTACTCGGGTTGTTTGACGTCTTTGCCCAAACCCGTCCAAATTTAATTCGGACTTTTGAATTTTTGCCCAATCTCGTACCAAATTCAAAAATATCTTGTCCAAGCCCTAAAAAAATTCGGACAGGATTCGGGTTGCTCGGGTTGAGCCTACCCAAGTTGCACCCCTAATTTTAGTCGAAAACCACATGGGAAATGTAGCTACTTTTAAAAGACGGGGCAAAGTGAAACCAGGCCACACCACACGGGATTTTGCACTAGAATTTATGGATTCATTCATTAATGGAAACATATAATGGTTTATAGACTTGGAATTTTGTTTCTGGCTTTTGCTACTGTATCCTGTCATATCAAATTATAAAAAATTACATTTTCATTGATTGGTTTCAAATATATTTAAGGCTGTGCTTTCATTTTGTAGGCAGTTGCATGGATTTTTCTTGGAATATTCTCTCTCATAAGGTTTCAAGCTGATTATTGCTTGGTTGTAGGAGTTTGCTTGACCCTCAGCATTGCAAATATTGTTGGCTTTACTAAATGTCGCAAAGGTGTGTAGAATCTTTGTTTTGACTTTATAAATTCAGTTGCCTTATGATATTATATGCCTAATTGTCATGTTTAATACTCTATGCTATTGCAATACAATTTTTTCATCTTTTTGTGGAGGTTTATCTTTATGACTAGCTAAGAAGCACAAATACAAATATAGATATGGAAATGGACATGGACATGGACATGGACATGGGACATGCCCATTGTAAAAAAATCAAGACATGGACACAGAAGGGGATAAACCAAACCAAACCAAGCCTTAAGTCTCATCAAATGGGGTCGGCTAGTTGAATCTTTCTTCTCCACGCGGCTCTATCAAAGGCCATTTCATTAGTCAAATTAAGTAGATCCATATCTCTATTTACAACGTTAGCCAACGTTAATATAAGCCTATCCAGTCCCCTAACACTTCCATCCACCATCACTGCCTTGCATCTCTTCACTACTACCTCTGTTGGTCTCCATTAAATATGACCAAACCATTTCAATTGATTCTCTCTCTCTCAACTTATCTTTTATCGGTGCTACTCCTACCCATTCTCGAATACACTCATTTTTAATTCTGTCTTGTCTACTCCTACCCATTCCCAAACTTACTATTTTGTCAATCATAATGATTACATTACAACTATCAAAAGCATTTAATTTAATCATGAATAGATTAATAATAATAAAAATAAAAATAAAATACTAGTCAAGTTTTTCTAGGGTGTGTCCAAAGGCATGACACATGTGTCCGTGATTGTGTCCCGAACGTGTTCAAGGAGAAAAAAAAAAATAAAAGAATAGAAAAAAAAAAATAGACAACCATGTAGCATGTCTGATACAAGTCAGACATGGCAAAGGAAACTGAACTTGGCATTGCACTTGGTTATTTATTAAAGAAAAATAGATTAATCAGCGACATGCATTGAACACATCAGAACACATGTCGGACATTTCAAATGGTGTGTCTATTTTTTTTTTTCTCCTTGTTGGACACGTTGAGGACACATCACAGACCCACGTATATTGCCTCCGGACATCCCATAGGACACGTTTGACTTGTATTATTTGCTTTTGATGAATAATCTATTCATTATTGAATTATATGCTTTTGACATTTGTGTTGTAATGGTTTATGATTGACAAAATAGTATTTGTATGTTAATGATGTTTAAATTATAGATTTGAGTGTGTTTTTCATGTTGAACTACTATATAAAAATATATAGACTACATAATTTCACGTGTTCCTCCCGTGTCCCTGTCCTGATTTTTGTGGAAATCATTGTCTCATGTTTGTATTCGTGCTTCTTAGATTATATGGTTATGTTGACAATTCAAACACCTACCTTCAGGATATCCCAATTGTAGAAAAAAGGCAAACTGCAGCAATTTAGTTTCCAAATTAAGAACATAGATCTGAGCTGAACTTAATTAGGGTATAAACAAAGAAACAAGTTCAATACATGAATTTTAAGTTTTAATTTGAATTTCAAATGCTATAGAAATGCTATGGAATAATTTCATGTCTGTAAGAAGGTCCAAGGTGATTTCCCTAATGCTAATAAAGCCTGGTGATATATTGATCTTTCTCAGTCTTACCAAATCTCAGAGAATTTTGCATTTTGTTGTATGCATTATCATTTTGTTAGTATGTATGCATATATTTGTATCTTTTTATTTTGAAATTGGTTTTCTCAATCAAAAAAATTGGCGTTTCTCCTCAGATGCTAAGAAACAGATTCAAGCATTTGCCTCCCGAACCATTGCATCTCGAGTCTCATCTACAATACAGTCAGCATTCAGTGTAGTCTGAATTGTTCCTATAGAAAGATGCTAAGTACAATAGTAAAATTGAAGAATGCACCGAAGAAAACTATAATACTGGTTGCGACATGTACCTGATCACCCTACGGTATAAATATCAAATTTAGTTCATTTTAAAAGTTTTGTAGAGGGTATAAAAGGGTGGTGTTGGTACTCTGCATGAGTTGTTGGATTTTTGATGGTTTTGTATATTCAAAATACGGAAAAACCTTGCGATGCCGTCATATTTTTTTTCTTTTTGGATGTTATGTTTGGTTTTCTATTGGTTTAATTTTTTGTTTTTTATTGAGGACTTTCGTGTTTATGGTGTATTATTTCCATTATTCAACATTGCAATGGGAATGGAGTAACCTCCAAATGTATCTTAACATTTTTCATTTCTTCCACTTGCAAAGATACAGCTGAGCTCATGAAGGCCCCAACCAAGTTGTGATTAGAATGGTTGATGGTGGAAGTTTTGCCTTCACCCATAGTCATTGGTTGCATTGCATCACTTCTACTTTGTAATTGCTTCCTCTGTCAAAAAAATAATAAAAAAAATAGAGAAAGTAAAGAATCACTCTTACACTTTGAAACCAAATAAAAATTTCCTACCAAATCAAATCTATCAAATCAAACCAGTGAAATGAAATAGTTTGGAATCATGATTTCTAAGAACGACAATGTTACGTAGCTCAAATTTTGTGGCTCAAAAGTGGCTTAAATGGCCAAAACGACGTCGTTTTGAGTACAGAACAATATAAAAATGGCCAAAACGACGTCGTTTTGGCCATTTGAGCCACTTTTGAGCTACAAAATTTGAGCTACGAGACATTTTCCTTTCTAAGAATTTGATTTTTCTTTCAAAACATGTTTATAAAATATTACACACAATTTATTCAAATATCAAATAAAATAAAAATTATATACACTACAAAGAAAAACTTTTTTTTTTTCTTGGAGTCATAAAATAATACTATCGTTTAGCGTTAGGATCCTCTGGAGTGGTAATCCTACAGTGATCTCCTAAAGTGGTCCATCTAAGGGCTGATATTAAGCCTCACCAAAACGACGTGGCGCTTCTCCTCAGATGCTAAGAAACAGATTCAAGCATTTGCCTCCCGAACCATTGCATCTCGAGTCTCATCTACAATACAGTCAGCATTCAGTGTAGTCTGAATTGTTCCTATAGAAAGATGCCAAGTACAATAGTAAAATTGAAGAATGCACCAAAGAAAACTATAATACTGGTTGCGACATGTACCTGATCACCCTACGGTATAAATATCAAATTTAGTTCATTTTAAAAGTTTTGTAGAGGGTATAAAAGGGTGGTGTTGGTACTCTGCATGAGTTGTTGGATTTTTGATGGTTTTGTATATTCAAAATACGGAAAAACCTTGCGATGCCGTCATATTTTTTTTTTTTTTGGATGTTATGTTTGGTTTTCTATTGGTTTAATTTTTTGTTTTTTATTGAGGACTTTTGTGTTTATGGTGTATTATTTCCATTACTCAACATTGCAATGGGAATAGAGTAACCTCCAAATGTATCTTAACATTTTTCATTTCTTCCACTTGCAAAGATACAGCTGAGCTCATGAAGGCCCCAACCAAGTTGTGATTAGAATGGTTGATGGTGGAAGTTTTGCCTTCACCCATAGTCATTGGTTGCATTGCATCACTTCTACTTTGTAATTGCTTCCTCTGTCAAAAAAATAATAAAAAAAATAGAGAAAGTAAAGAATCACTCTTACACTTTGAAACCAAATAAAAATTTCCTACCAAATCAAATCTATCAAATCAAACCAGTGAAATGAAATAGTTTGGAATCATGATTTCTAAGAATTTGATTTTTCTTTCAAAACATGTTTATAAAATATTACACACAATTTATTCAAATATCAAATAAAATAAAAATTATATACTACAAAGGAAAACTTTTTTTTTTTTCTTCTTGGAGTCATAAAATAAGATTTTTTTTTTCTTTTTCAATTTACTCACTAAAACGACGTCGTTTTGATGAGAATTAATATCAACCCTTGGATGAACCACTTTAGGAGATCATTGTAGGATTTATACTTCAGAGGATCCTGACGCATCGTTTATCTCTTCTTGTTCCTACTTAATTAGGTGACAATTGAATGAGATGAGGGTGTCTTGAGTATTTCTCCTCTCTTTGGTTTTGTGAAATAATCGAAATGAACAATTTTTTATCATAAAATATTTTTTTTCCCTATGATACATATTAAATTATATATATAATATATGTAAATAATTGGTTTCATATCAAAACTGGAACAAAATTATAAAATGAGGGACTGAACAATTTATTTACATTAAAATTTAAGATTTATGCATTAGAAAAATCAAGCCAAATCATTTGATTTGATACGATTCATACAGTTTCATACAGGTTTACAATTTTTTTGAATTTTTTTTTTCCCTCAGAATTTGGCCTATCCGTATGATCTCTTAATTTTTTTTTTAATGAAAAAAACCCTTCCGGGAGGACATCATAACATTTGTAAGCTCTCATCTCGAAATAGTAAATTGATGGTCAGGTTTAGTCTAACTCATAAGAAGGAACCTATCACCAGGACAATAATAAACCTCACTTACACTCCACAATAGGAGACAGAGTCTAACGACAGAAATACAAAACACACCTTCCAAATGTCAAACCCTACATTTCTATGTAGAAAACAGATGTGTCATGCATGATACCTCCACCCTGTGGTGATCCCTCTTAATTGGGTCCCATTGTTTTGAGTCAATCAGTCAGTCTAGCTTACCAAAAAGTGTAATATTGTTCCGTTTGTTTTCAAAAGTAGGATAGAGGAGATTGTTAGTGAGAGGACTGCTAGTAAGGGAATTAAGAAAAATTGTGTTTGTTTAATAATCAATGGACTAGTAATAGTTCATGTTTATTTTGAGAGATAGGGATGGGATTAAGCATGTGAAATTTCACAAATACCCTTTGCATTATCATCAAATTTGGACTTATACGAACTAAAGAATAAATAAATTTTTACTCATCAATATTATTCTTCTACTTTTTTTTATTTTTTTTAAAAATATTAAAGAATCTAACTATCAAAAAAAAATTTGTCAATGTTATTCTTTTCTTTTTTTTAATATTATTGAATGCAACTACCAATAAATTTTTATTCAATGTTATTCTCTCTTATTTTATTTTATTTTTTGTAAATATTAAAGAATCCAACTATCAATAAAATTTTATTCAATTATTTGTGTTTAATATTACATGAGCCATGTTATTCAATGTCACTGCTTGTGCAGAATGTATATCTTGCCAAATTTGTTTTTGCAAGTCCAATGCATCAAAACCAAAATAGTATTCATCTGATATCTTTAGACTAATTTTAAGATCTTGAATGTGATGACTTTGACATCATGAAATAAAAAAATTGATAAACTAACTATTGCACAGTGAACGTTGAGTACACCATGGTGACCTCCGTAGCTTCAGTTAATGGATGAGTTTAGAAAATCTTAATAAGCCTATTGAAGCCTTCACGTCTCTATATCTTGCCACATTTAGATTCATTTCACCTCTCTATATCTTTCTGCATTCCATCAATCTAGAACTGTAATATGAATTACACTTTTCACTTTACCAAGCTAGACAAAATTAATGACAAAGATCTATAATATAAAAACAATCCTCAGATTGGCAGAACACAAAATGACACTAAGGCAGTGTTCGGATCATCAATTTGGGTAAGAATTTAGAAAATGAAAGGAAAAGATGAGGGAAATCTAGTAAGTGCTCCATGCTAAATCAATAAATACAAAAAATAGGAAGTGCTGGATACTTACCACAGAGTTTCTACTGCCTTTCTTGGTTGCTCAGGAAAATAAATAAATAATAAAAATAATTTGAAGGAATTGCAATTTGAAACTAGTGATATCTGATCCATGCACAATCTCTATGCAACTAAAGTCTAGTACATCAATCAGGCAAATTTGAGTTTATTATTGTTCTTTTAATTTTTGAAAACCAAATTACTTTACAAGATGAGATTAATAATTTAATTTGTTAAGTCTTCATCAACCAAACGGATCATAGACGATCAGAGCCTGCAGAAGACAACCCTGCTGCCAAAAGAAAGAAAAGAGAACAACTGAAGAACCAGACCACTTTTCAATATAATGACGAGAGAGAGAAAGAGAGAGAGAGAGAGAGAGTACATTTCATATTACAAAAGTCTGCCTCAAAAACTTTCAAGTTTCAATATATTGGATGGAAGAGAAAACTTACAGCCAATTTGAAGAAACTATGGACCTGTGATTCTCATTCGGTCAATCGATCAGAAACTATGGGTCTATCAGTGCAAACTGTATCGAGAGACTAACTATGGTGGCAAAAATCTAATCCTAATCCCGTCATTTTTTTAACTCGTTTGTTTCTCAAATTTAGTTCTCAAATCATAAATCATGTCACCAAACCAAAATACCCAACTTGAAACTAAAAACCCCCAATCTAAGTATGAATCACAATTTCCTTTCATTCATCTAATTCATCAAAATCGCAACAACCCAAACATAATACCAGCAAATGAATCCCAAAATGCCAAGGAAAATTGAAAGCAAAGGGACCCAAGTTCACATTTGTAGTCATCAAGTTAATTTGCATTTCATCAATAACAATTGAAAGTTCAAGCAAATAGGACATAAGAAACAGAACCCAACTAAAAGTCAAAATATATATATATATATATATATCTCAAGCATCTATGCCACAATCACCATTTGTATGTATCTGCCAAGAGAGAGAGAGAGAGAGAGAGAGAGAGAACTGACCACCCACAAAGGCAAAGTAGGCAATCTGTGAGTGACAATGAGCTAAACAAGACCATACCCAACAAAATTCTGAACAACACCAATGGAAAAAACAGCCCAAATAGTTTAACCATATATTCATACATGAAAGAAAAGTTCAACCATGAAAACATACTATGGAAATCCACCATGAAAGGGCAAGTCTACATATCCATGATTTCCATGCAAAATTATGCACCATGTGCATCCACGATAACACCTAAGCTATAATATTTATGTATCACATAATATATTACCGAAGTCCATAGCAAACAAAAAGACCATCATAAAATAGATACCATATTCAAATATGACCTTCCCATAACAAGGAAACCCACTCTATCTTGTCATTCTCATCTAAACTGAAGAACAAGTCAACTTTGTCTTCATCTTTCACTATCATAGATGCTGCCATCAACCTTTGGGTAGTACTCATTGGCAACTTCAGAAGTTCTTCATTAACCAACCTCCTTTGTTGGGATAGGTCATGTGAATATCATATCCTATGAGCAATCTCCACCATCGTAGTATTAGTATTCTCAATGAATGATCCAAGATTTTTGGCCATCTAAGATAGTTCAGTGGGAATCCCCTCAGCAGGTCGAGCCCTTTTTTTCCAGTTTTAGTAGAGTCAGCACGGTTGGAAATATTATTAGAAGTAGACATTGAGTGGTCCATATCACTCATGTTCATACTAAACTGTTCAACAAGAGACTGTTCTCCTTCTTCTGTAGTTGCATTCGCATCTTCCTTTTCCATAGCTGCAACTGCATCAGCAGGATCCCCAGCTAGTTCACCAGTTACCCTATCCTTCCCAAATAGAATAAGCCAATCTTCATAGAACGGGAATGGCCTATTTCGCATCCCTTTTGCATTCGGCACCCTCTACACAAGTGATTATCCAATTACTAAAAATAACATATTGATTTATAAGAAAAGAATAATGCAAACAACAATAACAAAAATGAGATATACCCTGACATAGTTTAGCCATACGTCGTCACTATCAACTAGCACCGTCTTTTGTTCATCATCCCAACCAAAATCACTTATCTTTAACATATCTTGAAAAGTGTTATATTGTTTCCTCCACAACTTAATCTTTGAGTCGATGTGAGGAGTGGCTCGAAGATCAGTTCCAGGAAATGCACTTAAGATCTTCTTTTCACATTCATTGTAGAAGCCTGCTCTAAACTGATTATTATCAAGCTTCCACCTGGGATTACTTGCGGTTACATCCTTCATGGTTGTAATGAGGAAGACTTCCTCATGGTTATTCCAAAACCTTCGAGGTTTCTCCTTTTTACGAGAACTAGTGGTACCTGTGTCATCCATATCTATATATATATATATATATGTATATCATGAGTTTAAATCAAAACACACGTGTCAATCATAAATAACAAGTCAACTTACACAATATTTGTTACAAATACCACACAAAAACTAAACAAATATGTTTGAATTACATGTCATTATAAACTCTCACTATTAAATAAAAATCGTCATACAACACAAATTTATTGACCTTTACTTGCTTGCCATTCATTAAACATTTGGGTTGCCAAGGCTGTTCTCCATTCACTCCATTGATCAGATGCTTCAACAACGTCAATCATTTCATCTCCTAATTCAGTAGCTGGAGGAGGAGGATTCATTTCCTCATTCTCATCATCAGCGAGATCCATAGGCATTTCACGTTGTATGAGATTGTGGAGAAGGCAACATGCAGTGATAATACGAAATTGAGTCTTGATTGGAAAGTAAGAATAGGTCCTCAATATTGCCCACCTCATTTTAAGTAGGCCAAAACACCTCTCAATGACATTGCGAGCAGAAGAGTGCCTCATGTTAAAAAACTCTTGTGGAGATGTTGGGGCACCCCCTTCTCTCCATGTCGAAAGATGGTAACGATATCCTCTATATGGTGCAAGAAAACCCTCCCCATTTGTGTAACCCGCATCTACGAGATAGTAGTGGCCTGTAATTATGTAAGATGGTTTCACTATGTATGTACAAAAATAATTGTTTAATATAGATATAGTGCACTTATATATATAACAACATATATAATTATCATACCAGTAGGCACTTTCAACCCATTGGGTCTACTGACAGCATCTCTAAGTACCCTAGAGTCAGAAGCAGATCATTTCCATCCAAGCAAAAGACATACACACACCCAATACATTTGCGGCAATTTCTCACTTTCTTGTTCTATACCTTGTTTTGTCTATTGCAGAGGCAAGAACCTTAACACAAGTTCCATTTAAAGCACCAAGACAATTCCAGAAATAAAACAATATTATAAAATTACTATAGGCAATACAAAAATATAATTCGCTAATTAAGCCAAGTTGTAAATATATTGTACCTGAAAACAACTCCACCTATCATCTGTACAATTAGCAGTTATTGATTCAGGCTTCTTAAGGAGGAGACCATAGAGGCGCAACACAGCCTTGAGAACATTATTGAAGTGCTTACTAACTGTGTGACCACTCTGCATGAAATTAAATTTAATTTTGCGGTTCTTAGTATGATGTGCAAGCACATTCAAAAACATTGCTGCTTGCTCCTCTAAGACAATATATTTTGAATCAGACAATCAAACATTTCGCACCAACCCACATAAAAGCATGAAAGTACGCCTATTCATCCGAAGTTAGTCATGACAATTTATGTCACTATCATTGACCAATCTATTCAAATGGTCAATTTGTTTTCCATAGAGGTGAGGTGAACTAGGTAGTTGCAACCTAATTTCCTTCTTCTTGAATGCAGCATGTAAAATCACTATATACATAGCACATGCATAATTAATGGATGAAACAACAGGTTGGAGGGCTACAAATTCCTCTATAAGGTCCTTTCTCCTTTTCTTAGTGGCATAATTATTATCCATCTACAAAAAATGAATAAACAATAAGCGGCTAAAGTTAGCACAAAAAGTAGAACAAATAATAGATAATAGAAAATGTTTAACATGATAAAACAGATTATAACTGCCAAAAAGCCATAGTAGAGTGAGTTTGAAGTACAGTCTAATTGAGTTAGATAAATTTAACATCTGTTCATATCAATCATTTTGTGATTAAAATTAAATAACAAAAAGACACTTCGCAATAGCAAATAGTGGGTATATTCAAACATACACAGAAAACCATGCAATAGTAGATATCCACATGAAGAAAATACTGAATAATTATTTCTAGTCAAGTAATTTGTAACAATAATGCAAAATAAGATAATTAGACCATGTTAAAGAAAAAAGATAATTTGGATGTCATTACAGCATCTTTTGGTCATTGCAATGTGGTTTGAAATACTGCAGAATAGGTGTTTGATACTCCCGAATATTAGAGTTCTGTGGTGAAATTAACTTGTACAAGGATTGCATGTCACTGGAGCTATTGGGGTGGTTTTTCCTTCATTACATGGATGCTGATTATCTTAAAAAATGGTTTTGCAGTGTCCTTAAAGCCAGAATTGTTTGAGGGAATGCGCTTTGATTTTACCAAAGGACTTAATCAGAGATTTTCACTCAGTCACAGGTGGATCTGCATTTTCATATTTTTTTCATGCATTCTCTTTTCTTTTTCTTTTTTTTGAAATTTCCCATGTAGTTTTTATTTTCTACTAAATGCTTGTTGATTTTGTTTTCTGTGCCTTGTCCAACTCTCATCAGTGTGTTCATGGGATCTACTGAAATTCCTTCTCAGTCTTCTGAAACCATTAAGATTCCCACTGCTCACTATGAATTTGGTGTAACTTTATAGACCCAAAGGTATGTAATTAGTTCCATCACCATGCAATTAATTGATTTTTATGATAATCAATCTAACTAAGGGAACATTTGACGTTGTCCACAGCTGATGCTTTTTGGTAGAATATTAACTGATGGGAGGCTGAAAGCAAGACTGAAGTGTGATTTGTCTGAAAATCTTACTTTGAAGGCCAATGCTCAAGTAATACATTGATGACAGTCCCATTACATCATCTTTTTGGTCACAATTACGGAGGATTAGTCATACATTGATGGAGAATGAAAACAAAGGAGACAGATTTATAAGAAAAAAACAGAGGACAAACTATACGAAAGTAAAATGAATGAAATGAAATGACAATCTTTGAAATGTGAAGGAGGTGAAGCATTCCTAGGCCAAACTATAGGAAAGTAAAATGAATTTTGCGCTAAACTCTTTTAATCAGTATTCAGTGAAGGAATTTAAGCAACAACATCATTTATATAGGATCAAAATTTATGTAACCATAATCAGTATTTAGTGGAGGAAATTAAAAAACATAATCATTTAAATAAGTTTAATATTCATGTAACCACTTATGGAACATCAATATATGTTATTGACAAACACTGAAGATTACTAAAGGATGCAGGTAAGGTAATTTAGAGTTCAGTTTATCATTTAATTAATAGAGTAGAAAGTTCATGCTTTTATTCAGGGCCATAAAATTCAGAGGCTTAAACGAATTAAAATTTACAAATTGTTATACATGTACGTCAGACATTTTGCAACACAATCTCGAAATGCATTTTCCATCAATATCCCACATGCAACTAGTTTGTTTATAAAAATTTTTAAACAATTATAAGCTAGCTACTCATATTTTTTCTTTGCTATGAACTCAGCCATTTAGATATATCATCACAACAAACTAGATAAAGAAGAATGCATGAAAATAATGGGGAAAAAAATAGAAACCCATTTATAAATTATAAACCACAAAAAAAGCGGGGTATAATTTAGGGTAGAGAATCTCACACATCAAAACCCATTCAGAAACCCAAAAAAAATGAATCAAATCATTGATGATAAACCCAAAAATAATGAAAAAAAATAAACCCAGTTATAAATCATAAACCACAAAAAAACAGGGTATAATTTGGGATAGAGAATCCCACACATCAAACTCTTTCACAAACCCCAAAAAAATGAATCAAATCACAGATGACAAATCCAAAAATAATGAAAAAAAAGAAACCCATTTACAAATCATAAACCACAAAAAAAAAAAAAACAGGGTATAATTTGGGGGTAGAGAATCTGATAGCCGGGATTAACAAAAAAATAAAAAATTACCGACGTAGCAGATGCTCAGCTGAATCTGAGAGACAGCTTGTTGTACTGAGATTGAAAATCTGAAAGATATGAGAGAGCTTGCTGTACTGAGATTGAAAATCTGAAGAAGAAGAGTTTCTCTTTGCCTCTCCCTTTTGCTGCTGCTGTTTGGATGAGTTAGGGCTAGGGCAACAATGGGTAAAGAAGTAAATCACACCCCCTAATACCAACGGACTAATTTTCGGGAAATTCTATTTCCACGCACCAAATTATTTTTGTGTACATTTTTTCTCAATCCATACACTTAGTAATTTGATTTTTACTTCTTTTATCTCAGTCCACATGCTTCACGTTCCAAATATACTCCCACATTCTCTGTGCACATTCTCTCCTTCCATCCTCTAATGCCCCTTTGCCTGTTTCTTCTTTCACCCTTTTCTCTCCTCCTCCCCTTTTCAAAATATTCAGAGCCGCTAGGTTTGCTTCAATGGCGACCAAACCCACTTTGAATCTGAGAAAACCCAGTTACAAAATGAGACATGGACAGTAGACAGAAACATGTGACACCACAGCATGCCTAAGCAATAAAGAAACATAGCTAAATTACCAGTTACCTAAGTCACTTCCTCAAGCACTCCAATCAAACATGTTATGCACAATTGAGTACTTAAATATATACAAGAACAAATATTATGTACAGATACAGATTATAAGAAAAAAGATTATACTCAAAAAAAAATTATGCCTAACTGTACCTGCATTATGTATACTCTGCTCTTCTGGAGCAAACATAAACACAACGGAACAGAATAATGAAATCAGACACTCTTTGCAATTTTACACAAAACCAACAGCCTGATTCCAATTCCTACACACTGTCATCTTACAATTGGCGAACACAAGAATTAAATGACGCATTTGGTTTAGGAGAACAACCATCATATGTACCCCATAGTAGAAGAAAATATGTAATGTCAGAACAGTTCTACAAGATCGATCATTTTGGTATTGTTTGGTAACATTTACAGTCTTTTTTTTTTTTTTTTTTTTTTTTACAAGATCGATCAATTTGGTGTTGTTCCCCGCTTTGTATGGTTGAGGTTTAGGCATGAGAGGCGATGGTCGGCAATGGCCGGAGGTGAAGTGGCTGGTGAGATGGTTGTGGGTAAGATGTGAATGGAGAAATTGTGAGATGTGTGGGTAAAAAGGTAATTTTATTAAAGGATAAAATTATAATTTTGAAAAAAGTCATTAAATGTGTGGAGTAAGGAAACTTGGTGGGTGGAAATAGAATTTTCCCTAATTTTCAATACCAAGTTTTGGGGCTAACTGTGAATCCCATCTGCAAGGCCTATCTTAAGCCCTTCGGCTTATCAGTCCCTTACTCAACTCTGAAAACAAACAGTACATTAAATGGGACCCACAGCTATCATAATCTCAATCCTCTTCTTACACCCCAAAACAAACTAATATGTAACGAAAAAAATTTATTTTCACACACCTACTTACCTTAATACACATAGTTAATGAAACATTAAAATAATTACAATTATATTCTAAAGTAATTTGACTATAATGAATATCAAAACATACCCTTAATATTATATTCAAATTTTCTCTATATACATCTTTTAAAATTAAAAAAAAAAAAAATCTCAGTACATATCTTTTGAGTAAAAAAAAAAAACTAAACCATAGAAAAAAAAATTGAATAATTGAATACAACAGCTATATGAACATTTTCGAAAGCACAACTCAATGTAATCTTCAGATTTATCTCTGTCTCTTAATTTTTTTGAACTTCGAAGAAAGTTTGTGTAATCATTCATGGAACTCGTATGCAAATACAGTGTTGTTTCAACTAAAATGCACTAACAGATTGAATTGGGACAACTTTGAAGAAGAGTGATTGCAATGGTTGTTCCTGTTAAAGGCGATTGCAGTTTTATCTACTTTCTCGTTGGAGGTAAATTCAAGATCTGTTCATAGTTAACACAAGAGCTTTGTAATTCTCCAGAGGAAACTGTTTTCTTGCCTTTCGGTGTTACAAAACTGAACAATTATACAAAATTTGGAACTCAACTTTCAAAATAAACAATAAAATTCGGAAACTAAGTTCGAAAAATATGTGAATATTTTGAAAGTTAACAACTGAATTACTGCTTTTTATTCAGTAAACCAGTGCCGAATGCACAAAATCATAAATATTCTAAGAAAAAAACGAGGGTCTTCAATGGAGTGCAAACAAAATGGATTGCATATAGATAGCACAAAAGATTTTCAAAATAGATAGGAGATACTCACGTTCAACAATGCAATAGAGGGTTTTCAATGGAGTTGTCAAAATGTAGGGTCTTCAATGGAGATTTCAATGGAGTTGTCAAAATGTAGGGTCTTCATTATTTCTTCATGGAGTTGTCAATAGGTCATTTTCATACATCAGGCGTGTGGAATGGAATTCAGATCTTCGGCCGCTCTTTCTTGCAGCACTCCCAGCAGCACTACAAAACGACGTCGTTTTGTAGTGCGAAAACGACGTCGTTTTATTTAGTTGGGTTTTTTTTTTATAATTTTTTTGTTCCCAAAATTTGAATTTCCCGCATGAACTTTGAACCCTCATTTTGACTTCATCTTCGTTCCTCTCTCCTATGTTTTGCCCTAACCATGCAGCTGGAGAGAGAGAGAGAGAGAGAGAGAGAGAGAGAAGAGAGGCGCTGGAGAACGAAGAGGGGCTTGGCACCATCTGCGAAGACAGAGAACGATGGTGGACGGAGGCGACGGTAATGAAAAGAGGTTGGCGGAGGGACGCGAGTCCGGCTGTGGTGCGACGATGGCGGAGGGACGCGAGTCCGGCTGTGACGAGGTATATTTCAGTCTCTGTGTTATGTATATATGTATATTTCAGTCTCTATATTTACATTTTGTTTGGATAATCAATGTATACATGTATTTGCAGACATTAGAAATATTTTAGTCTATTTCTCTATTTTAGTCTCTATGTATTTGCAGACATTACAAATATACCAGTGCTATAATTAATTTGTATATATTAATTTTTCTCTATACATTTCTCTATATTAATTTTTATATATAATTAAGGATTTTGTTAATTCAGAAATTACTAATTAAGGATTGAGATATAATTAAGGATTTTTATATATAATTAAGGATTTTGTTAATTCAGAAATTACTAATTTTTAGATATAATTTAGATATAATTTTTATTTATAATTTAGATGAGTTTGTTAAGGATTTAGATATATTTTTTTATCTATTTCAGTCTCTGTGTTTGTGATCTATGCTGTAATCTGTGTTTGCATTCCTCTGTTTACTAGTGGAAGCTGCATGGAGTCTGAATCTTATTTGAAAATGGTTTCAAAAATATGGTCTTGCTAATTCTTTTATAAAAAAATTGTGTATCACCTACCTAAATCTGCTAATAGTTGCCTAATGCCTCAAACTGCTGATCTGCTTGTATAAAGAAATTAAGTCAATGCTGAATAAGATAAAAAAGTATAATTGCTGGGCATTATTCTTTTGTTATTATCTTTTATTTTTCCCCATCTTTAGCTTGAAAACTAGTACAAGTGACATGAGTAGATGAACTGTAAGTATACCTAGCACATCAAATTTATTAATGCCTATATGATGAATGATAGGTAGGTATTGTAACTACTGAAGAAAAAAAAAAAGAAGTTGGGCAGCACATGTAAGCAGTCAATTCCCTAGTGCATTATGCTCAAAACATTTTATTGTCTTCCTTTAGATTCAAGTTGTCCATTCATTTGAAAGGATGTAGAAACTTGTAATTTTTTAACTTTGATTTGAACTTATGATCATTAAAAAAAAAAAAAATCTAAACACTGGCATACCTATCCAAAAAACTGGCATACATTGAACCTATAAATCGAATTGCAAGTAATCGAAGAAAATAATGTTGTTAATGAGTTGGCTAATTGTGGTTGGAAGCCGAAATTGGACATGTCATTTGACTCTGAACAAGCTGTATATGATTTTTACAATACCTATATGGCGGAAAGGTGGGCTTTGGGTGTATTTTTTTTATGTTCGGTGGGATTTGGATATTTTTGATGGACAATTTTTTTTTATATATTTGTAATGTTTTGTGGGATTTGTATAATTTTTATGGATATCTTTTTTATGTATTTGTAATGTTTGGTGGGATTTGGATACTTTTTATGGACATTTTTTTTTATGTATTTTTAATGTTTGGTGGGATTTGGATATTTTTTATGGACATTTTTTTTATGTATTTTTAATGTTTGGTGGGATTTGGATATTTTTGATAGACGTCTTTTTTATGTATTTTTAATGTAATGGACAGATTACACTTATTTGCTGTTTTGATTACACCCTGTAATGGACAGGTTAAAGTTATTTCCTGTTTTGATTACACCTTGTAATGGACAGGTTTGATTTTATTTTCTGTTTTGATTACACCCTGTAATGGACAGATTACACTTATTTCTTGTTTTGATTACACCTTGTAATGGACAGGTTAAACTTATTTCCTGTTTTGATTACACCCTGTAATGGACAGGTTTGATTTTATTTCCTGTTTTGATTACACCCTGTAATGGACAGATTACACTTATTTCTTGTTTTGATTACACCTTGTAATGGATAGGTTAAACTTATTTCCTGTGTTTGATTACACCCTGTAATGGACAGGTTTGATTTTATTTCCTGTTTTGATTACACCCTGTAATGGACAGAATACACTTATTCCTTGTTTTCATTACACCCTGTAATGGACAGATGCTGGGACAGGTTGAACATAACCATAACCATACAAAGTGAACAACATAACCATACAAACTGATTACACAGATTACACAGCTCTGCTGGACAAAATGAACAACATAACCAAGTGCCATTACATAACCATATAACCATACAAAATTAACAAGTCCAGTTAACCATACAAAGATATAGTTTACATAACCACATAACCATACAAATTGCCACTAGCTCCCATGGGTCGCA